TGCATAGTGTATAAGTGTATAGTGCATAGTGTATAAGTGTATAGTGCATAGTGTAGTGTATAGTGCATAGTGTATAAGTGTATAGTGCATAGTGTAGTGTATAGTGCATAGTGTATAAGTGTATAGTGCATAGTGTATAAGTGTATAGTGAACAGTGTAGTGTAAAGGTGCACAGTGTATAGTGCACAGTGTATAGTGCACAGTGAATAAGTGTATAGTGCATAGTGTACAGTATATACATGCATAGTGTATAAGTCTATAATCTATAGTGTATTGTGTGCCATTTGGGACGCAGCTTCACACACAGAACGTCTGTCATCATCACACACTGACCAGTGGCGTTGAAAACTGCTGGTGAGGGGGGGTTGAATGTTTCAGCCAATAGGGTGTTGTAAGGGGAGGAGCCAGAGCGGGTCTGGAGCATTGGATTGGCTAGCAGGTGATTACCCATAGTGCCTGAGGAGAAACAGCAGGATGCTTACAGAGGAGCACACACACACACACACACACACACACATTCAGCGCTGTGAGGGAAACACTGCCATCTGGGGGTGAAGTGTGGAAGTGTTGCCCTCAACGAAAACAAGATATCTGTGTATTATTACTGTGTTATTACGACAAGGGAAGCCCTGACGCATATCAAGAGTGAGTCTGGGTCTCCTGGCAGTGAAATATGCACACTCAAACACACACACACACACACACACACACAGACACATTTATATGTGTGTGCATTTCTTTAAGTTTGTCAAAAATACAGCATTTTTATGAAACCCATCTGCATTCAGCTGCTGATAAAACATGAGCAGTATAATAAAGGTCAGGCTTGGTTCGTTATGTTCTTATGGTTCTATATATATATGTATATTTATATCCACTACCGGTCAACAGTTAGGGGTCAGTTTGAGTGTTAAATGTTTTAAAATCAGCTTCTCCTGCTCAACAAGGCTGCATTTATTTCATCATAAATACAGTACAGATTGTAAAACTGTGAAATGTTATTGCACTATAGAATAACTGTTCAAAAGTAGTTTATCATTTAATTTAATCATTTATTCCAGTGATTTAATGATGAATATTCAGCCATGGGTGGACTTAGTGATATGGGGGCCCTAAACAATTCCAGGTATCGGACCCTAGCTTTATTTTTTTTAAAAATAAGTGTTTAGTTTAGGGTTAAATATGTTTAAAAGTGTAAATATGTATATATATATATATTAGGGCTGTCAAAATTAGCATGTTTACGCACGTGATTAATTGGAAATATTTAACGTGTTAAAATAAATAATGCAAATAACGCAGTTGCAGTTTTTTTATTTCCTGTTGTGGCCGACATGTGTTCGGGGAGTGTTTATAAAAAATATTTATTACCAATATTTTCCTATAAATATATATTTTAAGATTTTGGAATAATTCCAATGTTATCTGTAATGTAAGCTAACAAAGTTTCTCTGTTTAGTCACTCTTATGAATATTTAATATGATATTATTAATGTTTGCATCTGACAAAACATGTTTATTTGACATTAGCTGCATTTAAACTTTGTATTTACGAATGTTGTTCAATGTGTGTGTGTTTGTGTGTGTGTGTTCTTCACCTCGGGTCAGTGTGGGTGTGTTGTTGATCTCTGCAGCCATAAAGGACGACTCTGTCTGACGCCGCACCGTGTCGTTCCACATCCTCCTGATGCGGCTCTACACACACACACACACACACACACACAGGCCACAGGTGTGTATTCTGTGCAGTTTTATTATGTCTGTCAGTGTATCTCTGTGTTGTGGGCGTTACCTGTCTCTGTGCAGGTGCGTGCCGTGATTGGCTGCCGCCATAATATCGGTTGTTTCCCCGGTGGGCGGAGCTCTTGAGAGAACCATGGGTACCAGTGGAGGAGGCGTGGCCACAGCAGGGTGATTGACGCAGACACTTGCTGTATTCTTTCTGCACCTGTTAAACACACGACGGCATTTACAAGCAGATCAGGACAAAGCAGAGCAACACATTAGAGGATGAGCGCACACAGATACACTCGATACTATTCTCTATTAAAAATGTCACAAACACACACACACACACATGCACTCACCCACATGCTTACACACATTCATACACACCCACACACAAACACACACACACCTTCTTCTGCAGGGCGCAGTGCAGCAGGAAGATGAACATGCCGTGCAGAGCGTTAAAGGAGGTGAAGAGATACGCCATCACCACACTGTTATCATTGATGAAGAGCAGACCGAAGATCCACGTCAGAGACACCAGCAGGAGCAGCGTCACCGAGCTGACTGTCCAGCACCTGCACACACACACACACACACGCACACACACACATTAGTGTTTACCTTTACATCAAAACATTAGGCAGTTCGGTGTGTGCCTCACAGAGGTGAGTGGGATTGACAAACCACCTGTAGAATACACACTCTTCTCCCCATAGCACCACACACTTTCCTCAAACTCCATCCTACAAGAACTCAATAAGGAAACAGCCAATAACAGTCAGCGGAATACTGTGATTGACATTCCCCCGCTGTACGTGTCATCAGAGGGGGAAAGCCCCGCCCACAAGTGGCCATCTCATTAGCATAATCAGCAGCCCTGAGTGAGAAGCAGCCGTCTGTCCATTAGCCATTAGAGTGTTTGAGCTGCTGAAGATGATGTCAGCATAGACTAAGAGGATTACAGATGTGGAGTTCTAGATTTAGAGCAGGGGTCACCAACCTTTTGGAAACTGAGAGCTACTTCTTGGGTATCGTTTAATGTGAAGCGCTACCAGTTTGATACACACTTCCTAACAACAAATTTGCTCAATTTACTTTTAATTATATGTTATTAATAATCAATGATATTCATCTATGTGAAGACACTGATCATGTTAATGATTTCTCACAATAGTTGTCAACAATGATTGGAAACAGATAAATATCAGCCAATGCAAGTGTGATTTAAAAAGAATAGCTACAAAAAAATGAGATGCAGCTTACTGGTATGTGGTGTTGTGGTAAGCTGGGGTAACCATGTTGGTGACCCCTGATTTAGAGCCTCCATAGACTGACAGAAGCACACACACACACACTGAAGCACACACGCACTGCTGTTTTACATCTGTCATTATGTGCTCTTACTTGATGTTGTCGAATCTGCTGGAGTCGGGTTTGAGGACGGTGGAGTGACGGAGCATCCGGTGCACCGTGATCACCAGCACCGCCAGATTCAGCTGAACAAGTAGATGAAGAAAAAGAGAACGTAACTATCACTATATACAAATGAAGTCACAATCATTGGAACTCCTATGAGTTTTTTTCCATTATTTCCCAAATGGTGTTGAACAGATTCAGTAATTGTTCACAGTATTTCCTCTAATCCGCTTGTTAAGTGTGACGTCACACAAAGCGGCTTCTGGGTCCAAGCGCTCTATTCAGCTGAATGGGGAGACTCATGAAATGGTAATAATAAACGTTTACAAAGCGATTTAATACTTTCGAAAATCCCGATCGCAGTATATATGTCCATGCCTAATATCCGATGGCCAGAAAGTGATTAATATTTTTATACATTGTTAAATTTTTGGTATTTGTTATGCAGCAAGCCCAGAGATTGTTGTGTACACTATGAATTTATATAAAATTCACTTTAATGTGTGATAGGAATAAAACGTGATCATAAACGAATGATTTCTCCACTCTAATGAATGGGAGCTTGGACCTGGAAACAGTATGCATACGTCACAAACACGTCATCACTTAACAAGCGGATATTTGTTCTTCTGGAGAAAGTCTTATTTGTTTTACTTTGGCGAGAATAAAAGCAGTTTTTAATCATTTTAAACATCATTTTAAGGTCAATATTATTGGCCCCTTCAGCAATATTAGTGTTGGATTGTCTCCAGAACAAACCACTGTTATACAATAACTTGCCTAATTACCCTAACTTTACCCTAATTACCCTAGTGAAGCCTTTAAATGTCACTTGAATACTAATGTCTTAAAGAATATCAAAATTGGCCAGAAAGAAAGAAACTAATAAAAGTCTAGAACCACCCAAGTGCGAATAAATGATGAGGAAACGCTCATTGTTTAGTGCACTGTCCCTTTAAATGAGTCTCACCAGGATAACGAGGGAGGCGGGGCCAATGAACGTCCAGATGAAGTAGTTATCCACCCTCAGCCAGCATCTGCACAACACAAGAGATCTGTTAGATGCTCAAACACACTGGTGATGGGTTTGGGCCATTTTTCTGACTTTGACCTTGAACTCGGAGATGATCGAATCTATTTTCAAATCATTTCATTGGATTTGCTGAAATATCACTAAAATTTCAACACATCTACATGTTGATCACACTACAAAGAAATCAGAACTAGAATGCTATAAGAAAGAGAGAGTAATCCTTCATGTTTACCTGTTCCCAGTTGCATGAAAGTCCTTAAGTAATTTAACTTAAGGGTGTCCCTGAGGAGGGAAATCCCTGAGGCGCATTAATTCATTAAGATGTGCTATCAACACGTTGTGCGTACTTGATTGCTCATCAAATGGCTTGATTAAAATATTATCTATGTTTTTTTACAACCCTGCAAGTCTTTTATCTAAAACATTTTTATTTGGGTCAGGGTAAAGGCCGGCATGTCCACAGAGGCGACCTAGGCAGCTGCCTAGGGCGGCAGAATAAAGAGGGCAGCGTCCGCGACACCACCCTCACCACCTGCATTCTCGGCAGTTATATGCTGTCTGGTCAATGAGTATGTAAGGGGGTCTGAGATCAGGTAGTTGTCGAGAGCTCCCCCTGGTAAAGGAGGAAAAGGGTAGACGGGGTGGAAGGGGGATTCTTCAAGGCTAGACGGGTTATTTACAGTGACTTTAGAATAATCCAATTGGTTTACTAATGATTACAGATGAGTGCATATGATTGGTCTCTGTCTTTAACATGATGAACAAACAACTCAAACCCGACTGAAGACTGGAAAAATTAACTAATCTTCTCCTCCTCCTGTGCAATGTGTGCATGTGCTAATGAACACACCACTCCCTGAGACGACTCATCACAATAAAGATTCATTCTATATGAGCAGATCATTTAAGAAGGACCCATGTGGAGCGCAGACTCACGCCTTGGCTCCTCCGTAGCTCCTGTAGTCGATGGCTGTAGAAATGGCCACCACCAGTGTGGGGAAACCGTATGCAGAGAGGTAGTAATACTTCCTTCGAGACGTCTCGCTTTCAAACACCTCCACCATCAACACATACAGCTGCACCGTCTCCATGCAGAGCCAGCAGAAGACGGACAGCAGAAAGAAGTGCAGGAGACCAGCCAGAACTGGACACACCACCTGCACACACACACACACACACACATAAATGCAGAGTTTGGCACACACAGAGTTGGTCTAAAAGTCATGTTTAGTTTAATAAATAATCTGATAAAGTCTGGATTAGTCTGATCATGTCTGGTTTGGTTTGATATGGTTTGGTCTAATCTGATTAGGTCTGACTTTGTCTGGTGGCTCAGTCATGTTACGTCTGATAAAGTTTGGTTTGCTTTAGTGTGATAAAGTCTGGTTTGATCTGATATGGTCTGGTTTAGTCTAAGTCTGGTTTCGTTTAATAAAGTCTGGTTTGGTCTGTAAAAATGAAATATCTGTTTTAGTCTGATAGTCCGCTAAAGTCTGGTTTAGTATACTAAAGTCTAATTTGGTTTGATAAAGTCTGGTTGGGTCGGATGAAGTCTGGTTAAGTCTACTAAAGTCTGGTTTAATCTGATAAAATATGGCTTAACCTGAAAAAATCTGGTTTGGTTTGATTAAGTCAGGTTTAGTCTGTTAAAGTCTGGTTTAGTCTGATTAAATCTGGTTTGGTCTGATAAAATCTGGTTTAGTTTAATAAAATCTTAGTCTGATTTAGTTTGATAAGTCTGATAAAGTCTGGTTTAGTCTGCTAAAGTCTCATTTTGGTTTGATTATGTCTGATAAAGTCTGGTTTTGTCTGATAAAGTCTGATTTAGCCTGATAAAATCTGGTTTGTTTTGGTTAAGTCTGGTTTAGTCTAATAAAGTCTGTTTTAGCCTGATAAAATCTGGTTTGGATAAGTTTGGTTTAGTCTGATAAAGTTTGTTTTAATCTGTAAAATTTGATTTAGTCTGATAAAGTCTGGTTTAATCTGATAAAACCTGGTTTCGTCTGATAAAGTTTGAAAGTCTGATTTAGTCTGATAAAGTCTGGGTTTGTATGCTAAAGTCTCAATTGGTTTGATAATGCCTTGTTGGGTCTGATGAAGTCTGGTTTTGTCTAAGAAAGTCTGGTTAAATTTGATAAAGCCTAGTTTGGTTTAATAAAGTCTGATTTGGTTTAATAAAATTTGTTTTGGTTTGATATGGTTTGTTTTAGTCTGATATAGTCTGGTTTTGTCTGTTGGCTTAGCATGGTTACGTCTGATAAAGATTGGTTTGGTTTGTTGCAGTGTGAAAAACTCCAGTTTGATCAGATATGGTCAGGTTTAGTCTCCTAAGGTCTGATTTGGTCTTATTCAGTCTGGTTTATTCTTTTAAACTCTGGGTTGGTCTTATAAAGCCTTTTTTAGTCTGATAAACGCTGGTTTAGTCTGATATAGATTAGTTTTTTAAAATATGGTTTGGTCTGATAAAATCTAGTCTGATAAAGTCTGGTTTCGTCTGATAATCTGTTTTAGTCCTTTAAACTCTGATTTAGTCCTGTTTGGTCTAATAAAGTTTGGTTTACTCTGATAAATCTGATTAAGTCTGATCATGTCCAGTTGGTTAGATATGGTCTGGTTTAATCTAATAAAGTCTGGTTTGTGTAATAAAGAGGTTTGTTTTAGTCTGATTATGTCTAATAAAGCGTTGCCTGATCTGATAAGGTTTGGTTAGGCCTGCTTTAGTGTGATAAAGTCTAGTTTGGTTTAATTTAGTCTAGTTTAGTCTGATTCAGCCGAGTCTGATGTGGTTTAGTTTGGTCCAGCTGGACTGACCGTGTAGTGTGTCTTGTCCATGCCAATGAGGAAGAGGAGCTGTGAGATGAAGAGTGTGAGGCACAGGTTCTTGTGGATGGTAGTGCGGTCGCTCTGAAGACCCCGCAAGCAGCAGAAGGTGGAGATGCAAAGAGCCAGACACACTAGAGAGATCACCATCCCCACCCATGTGATGACAAACAGGATCAGGCCCTGAACACCACCCGGATACTAAAACACAGCAACACAGCACAAAGATCAGACCCTGAACACTGCCCAGATACTGAGACATACAATTCAACATAAACAGAGCCATTTTAATGGTCAAACTAAGCATTGCTTACCTTGATTTTAACTGCAAATTAATAAACCTGTAAATTTATAAATTTATAAACCTGTAAATTATACAAAATTTATAAACCTCTAAATTATAAACCTGCATATAATACAATATAAACCTGTAGATTATCAGGTAAAAACCCTCCAGAATATCTGTTAAAAACCTGCAGATTATCGATTTTAAACCTGCAGAATATTTATAAACCTGTAGATTATCGGCTATAAACCTGCAGATTATCGATTATAACCTTGCAGATTATTGGTTATAAACATACAGATTATCTGTTTTAAACCTGCATATTATTGGTTATAAACCTGAGAATTATTGACTTTAAACCTGCAGATTTTCAGTAATAAACCTCCAAATTATTTGTTATAAACCTGCAAATTAAGGGTTTTAGACATGTAGATTATTGTTTATAAACCTACAATTTATCGGCTATAAACCTCTAGATCATTGGCTATAACCCTGCAGATTATCGGCTTTAAACCTTCAAATTATCGGCTATAAACCTCCAGATTATCGGCTTTAAACCTGCAGATTATCGGCTTTAAACCTCCAGATAATTTTTCATAAACCCTGCAGATTTTCGGCTATAAGCCTCCAGATTATCGGCTTTAAACCTCCAGATTATCGGCTATAAACCTCCAGAATATTGGCTTTAAACCTGCAGATTATCAGCTTTAAACCTCCAAATCATTTTTCATAAACCTGCAGATTTTCGGCTATAAATTTCCAGATTAATTTTTATAAACCTGCAGATTATCGGCTATAAGCCTCCAGATTATCGGCTATAAACCTCCAGATTATCGGCTATAAACCTCCAGATTATCGGCTTTAAACCTGCAGATTATCGGTATTAAACCTCCAGATTATCGGCTATAAACCTCCAGATTATCGGCTATAAGCCTCCAGGTTATCAGCTATAAACCTCCAGATTATCGGCTTTAAACCTGCAGATTATCGGTATTAAACCTCCAGATAATCGGCTATAAACCTCCAGATTATCGGCTATAAGCCTCCAGGTTATCAGCTATAAGCCTCCAGATATCAGCTATAAACCTGCAGATTATCGGCTATAAACCTCCAGATTATCGGCTATAAACTTCAAGATTATGTTTTATAAACCTGCAGATTATCAGTTATAAATCTGTAGTTTAATTTTTAAAACCTGCATATTATCTGTCACAAAACTCCAGATTTACAGTAATAAACCCCAACATTATCGGTTGTAAACGTCCAGATTATCAGTCCTAAACACGCAGATTATCAGTTAATGACAGCAAAATTCTACAGAGGAACTGTTAGTGCTCGCAGGATTAGCTGCTAGATTAAGTGTGTGTGACTCACGGTGGGCTGCTGGTGGTTCATGAGCACAGCGAAGTTGGTGAGATGCGAACAGGCGCAGGTGGTGTGTGTGTTATTGCTGTGCAGACGCCGGCAGCCCTGCGACGACCACTGACCCGTCATCGAGCGCTCCGAGTAATTCCAGAATGAGCAGTTGGGGCTGAAGTGATCCTCCAGCTGCACACACACACACACACACACACACACACACACACAAACACGTACACACACAGTGGGATCGGTTAGTCTCTTTGCTATACAGGCTTGATTCTGTGTGTGTGTCTACAGCAGTGTATGTGCTGTGTGTGTGTGTGTGCAGTGTGTGTATCCACCTGTAGATGGCGCAGTGTGAACAGCACAGGTTCGGTCAGGAACACTCTGCTGGACTCTTTGTTCATGGACGCAGAGATGATGTGTGTGTTCACCGCCAGACTGTGCAGCTCCGCGTCCGGCTTCAGCGTGGCGTTCAGCGTCGACAGAAACGCGCCCAGGTTCTTGTAGAGCGTGAAGACCACCTTCACCTGACCTGAGGGAGAGCAGCGACACACACACATGCGCACAGTCACGAGTCTGAACTACTGCACACATTTAGGTGCGATCAATGCAACTGATCCCACACAGCCCTGAAAATAACCGCAGCATCACACACACACACACACACACACACACACACATAGACATACACACGCAACAGGCACAGGACCAGTGACCATGGAGACTGTTGCCATGGTGATGACGAGCGAACCGGCCATGTTGCACTTAAAACCCACAGACAAACACACACACACACACACACACACACACACACAAAGAGATACACAGGCAGTAAGACACACACACAAACACATTCACATACACACAGACATGCACAATCAGACGCACACACTCACACATACATGCCACACATGCACAGACACACAGGA